TCAGATGGCTTGATCCGTCGATCGTGATCCCTGGTCAGCTGGCGCCGGCTGTACCTGTCAGACGGTGTCAGACGGCCGTTAATCCCTAGTCAGACGCCCCCGGCCGAACTCTCCACACTATTACGCCCCACTCGCAGTCGCGATATTTTTGCTTTAAGAATCTCATTTAGCGCAGTTATCGGGAATTTTCTTTCATGTTCTCCTAGAAAAACAGGATCAAATGAATTTTTGAGGGCTGCGGGTGAAAATTTGAAAAAAATGTCTTGTCGTCGGCAACAAGTCCATGTGCGAAGTTTGAGCTCGATAGCTTTACGAGATGTGGTTGAATTAGTCGTGCAAGGATTTTGCCTGTCACCCAGACAGCCTCGAACAAAAGCGAAGTTAATATAAAAGGATTTTGCCTGTCACCCAGACAGCCTCGAACAAAAGCGAAGTTAATATAAAAGGATTTTGCCTGCCACCCAGACAGCCTCGAACAAAAGCGAAGTTAATATAAAAGGATTTTGCCTGCCACCCAGACAGCCTCGAACAAAAGCGAAGTTAATATAAAAGGATTTTGCCTGCCACCCAGACAGCCTCGAACAAAAGCGAAGTTAATATAAAAGGATTTTGCCTGCCACCCAGACAGCCTCGAACAAAAGCGAAGTTAATATAAAAGGATTTTGCCTGCCACCCAGACAGCCTCGAACAAAAGCGAAGTTAATATAAAAGGATTTTGCCTGTCACCCAGACAGCCTCGAACAAAAGCGAAGTTAATATAAAAGGATTTTGCCTGTCACCCAGACAGCCTCGAACAAAAGCGAAGTTAATATAAAAGGATTTTGCCTGTCACCCAGACAGCCTCGAACAAAAGCGAAGTTAATATAGAAGGATTTTGCCTGTCACCCAGACAGCCTCGAACAAAAGCGAAGTTAATATAGAAGGATTTTGCCTGTCACCCAGACAGCCTCGAACAAAAGCGAAGTTAATATAGAAGGATTTTGCCTGTCACCCAGACAGCCTCGAACAAAAGCGAAGTTAATATAGAAGGATTTTGCCTGTCACCCAGACAGCCTCGAACAAAAGCGAAGTTAATATAGAAGGATTTTGCCTGTCACCCAGACAGCCTCGAACAAAAGCGAAGTTAATATAGAAGGATTTTGCCTGTCACCCAGACAGCCTCGAACAAAAGCGAAGTTAATATAGAAGGATTTTGCCTGTCACCCAGACAGCCTCGAACAAAAGCGAAGTTAATATAGAAGGATTTTGCCTGTCACCCAGACAGCCTCGAACAAAAGCGAAGTTAATATAAAAGGATTTTGCCTGTCACCCAGACAGCCTCGAACAAAAGCGAAGTTAATATAAAAGGATTTTGCCTGCCACCCAGACAGCCTCGAACAAAAGCGAAGTTAATATAAAAGGATTTTGCCTGTCACCCAGACAGCCTCGAACAAAAGCGAAGTTAATATAAAAGGATTTTGCCTGTCACCCAGACAGCCTCGAACAAAAGCGAAGTTAATATAGAAGGATTTTGCCTGTCACCCAGACAGCCTCGAACAAAAGCGAAGTTAATATAGAAGGATTTTGCCTGTCACCCAGACAGCCTCGAACAAAAGCGAAGTTAATATAAAAGGATTTTGCCTGTCACCCAGACAGCCTCGAACAAAAGCGAAGTTAATATAAAAGGATTTTGCCTGCCACCCAGACAGCCTCGAACAAAAGCGAAGTTAATATAAAAGGATTTTGCCTGTCACCCAGACAGCCTCGAACAAAAGCGAAGTTAATATAAAAGGATTTTGCCTGTCACCCAGACAGCCTCGAACAAAAGCGAAGTTAATATAAAAGGATTTTGCCTGTCACCCAGACAGCCTCGAACAAAAGCGAAGTTAATATAAAAGGATTTTGCCTGTCACCCAGACAGCCTCGAACAAAAGCGAAGTTAATATAAAAGGATTTTGCCTGTCACCCAGACAGCCTCGAACAAAAGCGAAGTTAATATAAAAGGATTTTGCCTGTCACCCAGACAGCCTCGAACAAAAGCGAAGTTAATATAAAAGGATTTTGCCTGTCACCCAGACAGCCTCGAACAAAAGCGAAGTTAATATAAAAGGATTTTGCCTGTCACCCAGACAGCCTCGAACAAAAGCGAAGTTAATATAAAAGGATTTTGCCTGTCACCCAGACAGCCTCGAACAAAAGCGAAGTTAATATAAAAGGATTTTGCCTGTCACCCAGACAGCCTCGAACAAAAGCGAAGTTAATATAAAAGGATTTTGCCTGTCACCCAGACAGCCTCGAACAAAAGCGAAGTTAATATAAAAGGATTTTGCCTGTCACCCAGACAGCCTCGAACAAAAGCGAAGTTAATATAAAAGGATTTTGCCTGTCACCCAGACAGCCTCGAACAAAAGCGAAGTTAATATAGAAGGATTTTGCCTGTCACCCAGACAGCCTCGAACAAAAGCGAAGTTAATATAGAAGGATTTTGCCTGTCACCCAGACAGCCTCGAACAAAAGCGAAGTTAATATAGAAGGATTTTGCCTGTCACCCAGACAGCCTCGAACAAAAGCGAAGTTAATATAGAAGGATTTTGCCTGTCACCCAGACAGCCTCGAACAAAAGCGAAGTTAATATAGAAGGATTTTGCCTGTCACCCAGACAGCCTCGAACAAAAGCGAAGTTAATATAGAAGGATTTTGCCTGTCACCCAGACAGCCTCGAACAAAAGCGAAGTTAATATAGAAGGATTTTGCCTGTCACCCAGACAGCCTCGAACAAAAGCGAAGTTAATATAGAAGGATTTTGCCTGTCACCCAGACAGCCTCGAACAAAAGCGAAGTTAATATAAAAGGATTTTAAAAAATAAACCAAACTCTTCCAACTAATTTTTTTATAACAACAAAACGCCAGAAATATAAGAATACTTATAGTATTATGCACAGGAACACATTTTTTAGCAATTTCTTATAATTATGCAACGGTAAATAAAGTAATATATATATATAATATGTAATATATATATATATAATATGTAAACAAGCGTTTAAGTGCTTATGTAGCCAATAGATCTCCATTGTTTTAATAACATTGTCTAAACAAGCCCAACATACAGCACGTCAAACTACCACAGACAAGACATGAGATGACTGTGTAACCTAGGATGATTACTTCAGCCCCTACAGCCGACAATGAACACTTGAGAACTTCACACATCTAGTGAGTCCTGCTCTTTTAAACCATGATGCTGTCGGTAAAACACAAGAAACAGAAAAAAATCCAATCCAGTAATAAAAGTTACGAGTGCTGAATGGGAGGTCAAAGGTTAGCCGAAGGGTTGATTGAGAGTGGATGCAACTGCATAATTTGTATCACATAAAACTCGCTGGTGCAGGAGATAATCATATGGTAATACGCCATACTGTTATTTTGGGTTGGACTGTGTATGAGGAAAATAGCGGTTTGGGAAGAAAAGGGCCATATATGAAATATGTGAAATATAATATGTGTCGATGTTTGAAGGCATAGTACGAAATATTAATGTCTTTATATGGAGGTATATGTATTGTTTAAGTATGAAATATTGATTAAAATGAATGATAAGACTTAAAATGTCTTTATAAGATTATTAACCCCCTTCGCCTTAAAAGCGTTGTATCTTACAAATTGAAATTCTAAAGAACAAGACAAACGATTATTCTTTTTAACCACACTGAAAATTCCTTTTAATATGAGACAAACAAATTGCCAAAAACAAAACTATATAGCCTATAGGTTAAGCTTTAATTACCGAAGACTAACTAAACATTCAGACACGCGTGTACTCTGTCCGTTTCCCAAGACACACACTAAAACATACGGTGAACGATCTTTCTCTTTCTGCGCCCCCAAACAATGGAATTCTTTGCCACTACACATACGCAATATACCAACAACCCAGGCCTTCAAAACTGCACTCAAAACACATATTTTTTAATTATACTTTTGATAAAAATTTTATGTACAGCACGGTGAGCCCAGCCCTAGGCTGGGGCACAGCGCTATATAAGACCTCTTATTATTATTATTATTATTATTTATGTACATCAGTACAATAAAAAAAGCATTAATATATTTATACATAATTTTAGAATCAACTAGTTTTCTTTAGGGACTTGCGCCCATTCTTATTCGTTCCGTTTCTTTAATGTTTAGGTTTAGGCAAGATGTAAAATGTATCATGTGATATCCCTTTTTTAATTATATTAGTAGGTTCTGTTAATTCTATTGGATGAAGGAATGAGCCGAAATTTGAATTTCTAGTTTTTTGATCATAATTAAAGTGTACATAGAGTGTTTTACTTACACAAATTGTGTCGCATTAATCTACTAAGAAGCTACACCACCGTCCAAACCTTTAACAATGCCTTCTACATTACTGTACAAAATAGACATAGACATAGCCACGCTGAGACGTAGACATAACCACACTGAGACGCAGACATAGCCACACTGAAACTTATACATAGCCACGCTGAGACGTAGGCATAGCCACGCTGAGATGTAGACATAGCCACACTGACAAGTATACACAGCCACGCTGCGACGCATACATAGCCACACTGAGACGTAGACATAGCCACAATGAAACGTATACATAGCCACGCTGAGACGTAGACATAGCCGCGCTGAGACGTACACATAGCCACACTGAGACGTAGACGTAGCCACACTGAGACGTAGACGTAGCCGCACTGATTTCACCTCAGAAAAACAAAAACTTTAAAAAATGTAGGTATTTCTTTATTGTGTTCTTAATTTATTTTTTTTAAATCATTAAGAGGCCCTAGAGATGAGCTACGTCAGCTAGTTAAGCCAAAAAGGCATTCGCCTCTAAACTGCCGATTAGTGCAACGGCAAGTGTAAGGGCGGCAGGGGGCATAGAAGGGCACAGTCGGGAGCTTGATGCCCCTGGACCTTTAGGTTTATTCGGATTTTCCGATGTATCCGGTTTTTCTGTTTCGGTGTCCTCGTCACAAAGGTGCTTGCTCCGCAACTCTACGAGGGTGTCGTTTGATCCTTCGTGATCGGTCAGCGTGAACACAAACATGTCCTGCTGTTCATTCGTCGTGTTTAACCTGTGGAATATCAGCGTCACAAAACCGATTGCTGGGTCGGCACACCAGGCGTGCAGCTCCCTCGCTTGAGAACTGTTCCAGGCCAGTTGGTAGATGAAGAAATTCGGGTCGAGGTCAAAGTGTTTTGTTGACACGTAAAAGTTCCATGCCGTGTCTTGTCGCTGCGCGTGAAGAAGGGGTTTGTACACCAAGCAAATACTCCCGTTGTTATCGGCTTCTTTCTCCACCTTCAGGCCGCAGTACTCTAACGTCTCCGGGGAATGTGGAGAACGATTGTACACACTAACCCAGCTGTGGCGGAGCGGATATGAATTACTGCATGAGATGTAGTTGAAGTAGAGAGTACGATATCTACTCTCTATATTTACGATCTTTAAAGTTATCTCCAGTTTCTTTACGTTAACTTTGACTCTTTTGTTGATCTTCTTGAGAGCCACACTCAGAGAACCAGATTTTGTGCAGTACTCTCTGAGCAGCCAGCTACTTGGGTAGTACTTCAGTTCGAAGACAGTCTTTGTGTTTTCTTTGACGATCATTTCCACATTGGAGTCTTTGATGACGTTGACCGGACCGTCCTGCATGACGCACAATCTGCCATCTACTCGTGATGATGTGAATAAGACCTGGCAGTCGACGAACGTCTGGCCATCGTCGGGCAAATCAGAACGTGTATCTATGTTAAAGACACTGTCTGGGTCAACCCGGAAGTCCGTAGTGTTACAGCTGGTTCCGAGAGGTACATGTATCGTCTCACTCTCTTGTGGTCTGATCGGCGATGGATCAAGACAGAAAATCATGAGGAGATAACCCAGAAGGCGTTCTGTTCTGCCCTTGTTCATCGTCGTCAAATTTTGTTGAAGAAAAAAAATCCTCTTACTCTGTGAATAAGAAAAAAAAATTAAATTTTCACATACCTTTAACATAACATTTTCAAATTGAACAATTGTGTCTTCTTCTTATGTTCTCGGTATTTAGCTTAGCCGGTCAGTGCAAAACATGCCCTTTAATAAGCATTTAGAATGTCTCTTTTGCTAAGGTAAAAAAAAAAAGTATAATTTTATATGCATTGATTTATTTTCCACTGGTTGGTCTCAAATAATAGCCATTAAAGCACAATGATAAACGTAAAAACCAATTGGAGCAAATGTCTCAATTTTTCTTTGTTCAATTCACAAGGGTTTCTAATAAGACAACCGATCGTTGGAGGGAAAGACACTGGCAAAACGTGAAGTTCCATTAAACACATAATGTGTAAACAAAACTATGAAATAAATGTTCCATTAGCCCCATTGTGGGCTACATTGTTGTTGACTATCTTGTTACGGCAAATCGCCCAGTGAGGAAAATTAAACCCAGAACTAGAGACCGATCGAATTTCGGCTTCAGTTTAGGCGCCGAAAGTGGCCATTTTATAAATTTCGGCCAAGTTTCGGTTTCGGTCGAAACTAAAAAGTTAACTATCGGCTTAATTTCGATTTCGGCCGAAAGAGAAAAGTTAACTTTCGGGTTTTTTTTTTGGTCTCGGCCGAAATTGATTTAGACTTTTAAACATCCGACCGAAAGTTACTGAGTTTTTGGTCATCTTATACTTGGTGATATTTAACAACAAACTAAGCTACATTTAAGAACAAACTAAGCTATCTTTAATAACAAAATAAACGATCTTAAAGAACAAACTAAACTATTTTTAAGAAAAAATAAATGATCTTTAAAAACAAAACAAATGATCTTTAATAGTAAACCAAATGATTTATAAGAATAAACTAAGCGATCTTTAACAGAAACTAAATGTTCTTTAGGATCAAATTAAAATATCTTTAAGAATAAACTAATCGATCTTAAGGCACAAAATCAATTGTTTTTAACTTTAAGAAAAAACTAAGGCGATCTTTATGAACAAACTAAGCGATCTTCAACAACAAAATAAAGCGACCCTTAAGAAAAAACCAAATGATTTGTAAGAATAATCTAAAAGATCTGTAAAAACAGACTAAATGATCTTTAAGAACAAACTGAATGATCTTCAAGAACAACTAAAGCGATATTTAAGAACGAAATCAATGACCTCTAAGAACAAACTAAGCGATCTTTATGAACAAACTAAACGATTTTTAATAGCACAAACTAAGAGATCTTTAAGAAAAAACTTAGCGATCTTTTTTGAACAAACTAAATGATCTTTAAGAGCAAACTAAAAGATCTTTAAACAAAAAAAACGATCTTAAAAAAACAAACTAAACGATTACTAACAACAAACTAGGCGATCTTTATTAACAAACTAACCGATCTTTAAGAACAAATAAAGTGATCATTAACAAAAAACTGAACGATCTTTAACAACAAGCTAAGCGATCTTTAAAAACAAATTAAGCGATCTTTAAGATTAAACTAAGCAATATTTTAGAACAAACTAAATGATCTTTAAGAATAAAATGACCGATCTTTAAGAACAAACTAACCGATCTTTAATAACAAATAAAGCAATCATTAACAAAAACTGACTGATCTTTAACAACAAACTAAGCGATCTTTAAGATTAAACTAAGCGATCTTTTAGAACAACTAAGCAATCATTAACAACAAACTAAATGATCTTTAAGAACAAAATAAGTGGTCTTTAAGAACAAAATAAGTGGTCTTTAATAACAAACTAAACGATCTTTAAAAACAAAGCGATTTAAGAACAAATTAAACGATATTTTAGAACCATGATCAGAACAAAAATTTAAGAGACCCGGTTCAAAAAAATAATTTTCGCCACCAATGGGGGTGAGGGAGGTTAGTCTCCAAACCAAAAAATTACGTCATCAGTACAGCAAGACTAGTATGTTGTTACTAGGTTAAATATTAATTTAATTAATACAGTGATATCTTGCAAGCTATTAATGAAAACACACAGCATTAGTATTACGAAAACAGCGAAACATTGTGGTGATATTTTTATAGCCCCAATAACATATATTTAGATGGCAATTGGCTCTATCAGAGCCACAATAATTGTTGTAGGTATGTGTTCTTGGTTGTAATTATATTATACAAGCAAAGGCACTGAGTCTATTTTGCATTAATTTTTTACCCCCCCCCCTTTTTCCCATTTTTTTAAAAAGTTTCTCCTAACATACTAATTTTAAAAAAAATTATAAAGCAATTTTAATTTCTTTTATATTAAAATGGTAAAATCCAAAGTATTCATTAGATCAAGGGTCTCAAACTCAAATCATCAGGGGGGCCGCAGGAGGTAGTGTCTGAGTGAGACTGGGCCGCATCAAGTATTCCACACAAAAGCGATTACAACTGTTATAATCTGCTCAACCCTTATAAATAAAAATAAAACATAAAGGGTTCTCAAGATCTAGGATTCACTTTCTTCCACCTACTCACTGTTGCCAGAGACCTGGCAGCGCGTCTTTTTACACAGCTGAGCAGCTTTGGCTTGAGTGAGGAACTATGACTCTCAGTATAGCTTGAAGATCCTCATCTGTAAGTTTGGCCCTGAACTTTGACTTGTTAAAGTGCATAGTGGAAAAGAGCTATTCACACAGATATGTACTCCCAAAAAGTCGTATGCTCCGCTTGACCAACCTAAAAATTTCAGAGAAGGTGAAGGGCAATGCAATAAAATGTCCATGCTTGTCTGTTTTTCCATTCAGCTCCCCGCGCGGGGCATCTTGCACATTAAAGGAGAAAGGATCAGGAAAAAGCTGAAAAAGAGGCTGTCTGTGTTTTGAAGTCTAAATAATGTAGAGATCCAGACCGGGTAAAAGGCATAAGAAGAAGATCTAGAAAGTGAATTTACCTCACTCGTAAACACTAGCGGCAATTTTAATTATGGATCCTTTGATAATTTATCAGATTGCTACGATTTACACAACTATGGTTGTGCATTTCCCGCCAACTTACTTTTAAAAATGTTTCTATCAGCCGCACTCTTTGCCATCTTTGTCTCATAAAAAGCTATTAAATAAAATCTTTTATTCCGATTTTAAAACGGTTCTTACCATTTAAATCATCATACAAAAATACATAGAAACGTTTCAAAAAAATCAGAATTAGACTAGTCAGTGACATTCAGCTGAAACCGTCGCGGAGAGTCACGTTATAGATATGAGAATGGGGGAAACGGGCCGGCGCATTTACACTACACTTTTCTGTCATGTAGCGGGCGCAAAATATCGTCTTACGGGTCACAAATGGCTCGTGAGCCGCGAGTTTGAGACCCCTATATTAGATGTTTATTTATTAATATGCACGATTTTCTCATTTTTTTAATAAAAATAATGTAAATATTGATACTTTCCCCATCATTTTCGATGTATGCAGAATGTATGCTGGAACTAAATTTAAAATTATCTAAATATTTCATTTTTGGCTTAGGTTTCGGCTTCGGTTTTGGCCGAAATTCATTTTTAACTTTCGGCCTTTTTTCGGTTTCGGCCGAAAGTCATTTTAAAACGTTCGGCCTATTTTCGGCTTCGGCCGAAATCAGAAAATCACTTTCGTTCGGACTCTACGGCCAGAACCATACAAAATGGCCTGGCATGGCCGAGGACCTCAGAGAAAAGTGTAACGGGCCACTGCCTGGACACAATGACCTGGCACGGCTCTAAAGCAAAATGAACTTTCAATAATTAAGCACACACATTATCAGCACGCAAACAAAACAAATATCTTATTGCTCATATCGGCATTTAATCAACGCTCGCCACTGGAGTTTAATGTCACAATGCATTGCTTTTAAAATTTCAGAAATAAGGACCTTAATATTTATTGATTGATCAGCGAAGAGAATTTTGGAACTTAGCAAATAAACTTGCAAAAGAATTATATAAATAGCTAAATAAGATATGTTAAAAGAAATAGAAATTTATCCTGTAACTTAAAAAAAATTTTTTCCGCTGTTCAAATAATTCTTATTTCTCGTTACGACTGAAATTCCACCTAGCAGCCCCTCGCAACCTTAAAATGCTCTCTCGGACACCTGAAATGCCACATCGCACCCTTGAAATGTCACCTCGCATTCCCAAAATGTCACCTCGCACGCTTGAAATGCGACCTCAGACCACTGAAATTTCACATCACATGCCTGAAATGTCATCTCGCACCATTGAAATGTCAAATCGCACCCCTTAAATGTTAGCTCGCATCCACAGGAGGTTATATGCTGACTTAAATTGTTTATTTTTTTCACATATATTGATTATTAAATTCTAAGGATTGAAAAATTGAATTTTACTGTAATAAACTAAATGGGTGTTGAGAAGATTTTTTTAATTTAAAATTCCAATTCCTTTAACTTTGCTGGTTTCTGGAATTGTGGTACAGAAATGCCATTGAAGCCAGTTTTTGACAATTAGATCGTCGATCGATCGAGGAGAACTAAACTCCCCCCGAGTCCACTTATAACTACTGAGTAGATTTGTGTAACTGGTTCTGGCTCTGTCTCAATAACATGTGTTGCTCCCCTTGATTGGGAAAGCGCCTCGGCGAATTTAACAGTTTCAACAGATAAAATAGTACATCTATTCTCAGCAGAAACATGAGCGTTGAATCTTCGATTGTACTGCCTATGTTGAAAGATACTGAGAGGACTTGGTATCTGAAGAAATCCTGCAATACTTAGGATCGGCCC